TTTACCTAATTTGCATATTGCTGACATATGCAAATTAGGCAAATGCATTAATTAAGCATGCAAATAGCCGATTTTTCGGGAAAATTGTAACTTTGCGTGAATAGTTAAGGGGCTTAAACTAAACCAAATTGTCTGAAATTTTGTACAGTAATTAAAATCCCGACAAATTTTCCATCTGTTAACTCAAAATATGATTGCAGCTTTTAAATTTTGTGCGCGAGCCATTTTTACTTTGTTGGAAAAGACACCCCCCCTGGTTCACAAAATTTGAGTTCGAGAAATTTTTCTCATTATTCTACATTATAAGTACCCAAAGAGGCTATATATATGTAAAAAACGGATACAAACAGCTGTTTTGCGAAATTGAGAGCAATTTTAAATCTGTTCAGTTTTTTTTTTATACACCCTGTATAGTGATTATTTTGTGAGGAACCATAGTATGATTACTGATTTTTACCCTCACATAACACATAACACTGAGTCACTAGAAAAGAAAATGATCTACATATTTTTCAAATAAAGTATTCTATCTATATCTACATACAGAAAGCGGGAAGAGATAGGGACACTCGCGCGAGAGAACAAATCCGCAAATTATTAATACCGATGCAACTCAGAATCTTTATCACTCAGCACTACGCCAGATTATGCAACACCACTCTAGAAATTTATTTAAAGATATATACCGGATTATTGTTATCAAGAGATAATCGTTTATCATGTTAACTATTATTAAACCCTTCCAAAAAACCTTTGCATTTTCGTATACTGAGTCCTTGTTTTGAATAATCCGTTTTTTTCTATTTCGAGTCCGGGTTTTTAAAAGTCAAGTCCGGGTTTTTTTAAACACGAGTCTGGATTTTTTTCGAGTCCGGGTCCGGGTTATAATCGAGTCCGGATTTTCTTAGAGTCCGAGTCCTAGTCCGGTCCGTGTTTCGAAGTATGCCCCTTGAAGCTGCTAACTTTACTAAACCTGCTGTTCACACTTTCTAGGATGCACTGATCACCTTTGTAGTCTCCATTTCAGACATGCAAAATAGCACCCAGTTTCTTGCATAGATATCCTGACAATTCAACACGTTCATTTGGATTAAAAAAATTATATAATTATAATCAGCTACCACGTTATTGCTTAACTGCTGGATTGTACAATGCAATTCATACCATGCAGGTACTGGACACTAGTGCGCACATGAAACAAGACATAGCATAGTAAGTGAATATAGTAAGTGAACCCAGCTAATTTTAGATTTGAGACAGTGGCGTTAGCTTGGATGTTGTTTCACTGATGATTGGGATAGTCGGCCAATCTGACAACCAAACACCAGACCAAGGCTTTTTCACTCAAATCAATATGGATCTTGCCTTGGTTTCTATTAACACTGGGTCCACAATTCATGAAATATATTTATCTTGTTACATTTCTACACATCCTATATAGGGCAATTTTGTCCTGCTTCTAACCACCAGGAACTAACTGCACATGATAATTGTACTATTTTAAATAATTAGGCCAGCCAGACATTAACAATTATTTAAACACAAAACAATGAATTGATCCCCCCAAAAATGTTATATGAAATTAAATGCATTTCATTGTGATATTAACACAAAATTTTCCTTTATAGTGCTTAAAAGATTACATCAATATTTCTATTTCTATCTACAGCTCATACAAAAATATATGTCAACCTTGCTGTTTTCCATCTACAGATATACAAAAATATATGTCAACTGACAACATGTAAATTATTTGATAACAATTTTAATTTCCAGGTTAAGATTCTTTCAATTGTCCACAAAAGCTGGATTCTCAGTCGTTTAGGCGCCTTTAGCGACCGTATTAATATAAATTCACTAATTCTCATCAATTTCGTGATTCTTCACTCCATGCAATCCGCCATCTTGGATGACAAATCCTCCCCACGTGCATACCTTAGAGACGAAATCGCTGCGCAAGCAACATGCGCAGAGCTGCTCAACCATGTCGGGTTTTGGCAGGCATCTCACCGACGTTCTGAAGTACGTGATCTAAGAGATGCCTGTGGAGGAGGCTTAGGCCCTCATTATATGGAGGCGTGTTACCCGGCTAAGCGGGTTGAAAAGCGCATGAGATCAAAGGCTTAGGGTCATTAGTTTTTGATCTTATGCGTTTTTCAACTCGCTTAGCCGGGTAACTCGCCTCCATGTAATTAGCCCCTAAGTACAAACATATTAATTCGTACCTCCGGTTGGGATTTGACAACATGCTTAAGATGGCACATGTTTGATACGGATTTTATCTGGAAACCATCACTTGTACACAGCCAGAAACGCGCAAGTCGGAACAGATCTGCAACAGATCTGTTAAATGCTGTTGTCAACAAGCCGATATCTGGATGCGTTCGCTCGCCTTGTACCTGTCTGTTCTGACAGACCTGCAACGGCCTGTCAACAGGTCTGTTACAAGCTGTTGTGACAGACCTGCAGCAATGCTGTTTTCAACAGGTCTGTTACAAGCTGTTGTGACAGAGCTGCAGCAATGCTGTCGTCAACAACTTGCGACAGACTCGTTGGGGACAGGACGCGACAGGCCGTCGTCACGTCATCACGCGTGATCCTCGCGTGTCACGAGTTATCCTCGCGTGTTTTAACGTATCCCGCGTGAAACATGCGGTATACTCGCGTGTTGATCACGTTTTGCCTTCCGGTTCGAACTTCGAAATCAAAATAAACTCAATAAAACACATGGAATTTTTTGTTGAAAATATTTCAACAAGTTCAATATATTGAAAGGAAACTAATAGCGAAAGATTAACAGAATTTTTATACTATCTATACAAACACTGAACAGGTGTATTTATCAAAGAAATATATATATATATATACACATATGCACTATTTAATTTTAGTATTTTTAGTTATCCATTTTGCTTTATAGAAAACACCACGTGTATTAAATATAAAATTATTTTAATGTATAAAGTATGTATTACATAAAAATACATTTAAACTGTGTAACTTTCGATCCGTAAAGGCAGTTTTCCACTTAAACCGTATCGCAACGTATATATAAATAGTATAGCATTTTATTTTGTATCGATGTCATTTATATACAGGGTGTTTAAAAAAAGGTATAATCGAACTTCAGAGCGCTATTGCATCTGAATTACTCTGCGTATGACCGAGATTTTTTCATATTTGGAAAGACCAGGCTTGTAGTTGGTGAATGATATGTTCTTCATGCGAAATGGATGACAAATGAGCAAATACGAATCCGATAAAAAATGTTAGTCAGAATTGCATATTTTCACCTTTGAGAGTTGGGTCTAAAACCATTGAAAGCTAACCCTCTTTAGGACTGAAGTTAACGAATTTCACTTCATTAAACTACGCATATATTCATGATTATTATTAAGTAATAAGTGGGAATAAATCTTAGCTAAGCTGTGACAAGTTCGTGATTACTGTAAATTGCATTTTCCTTTGTTTATATATATGCACTGTTTTAATTATCACAGATGTGAAAATATGCAATTCTGATAAACATTTTTTATCGGATTCGTATTTGCTCTTTTTTTCTCCATTTGGCATGAAAGACATCTCATTCAATAGCTAAAAGGCTGATTGTTCCGAAGATGGAAAACTCTCGGTCGCACGCTGAGTAATTCACGTACAATAGCGCGCTGAAGTCCGATTACCTTTTTTATATACACCCTGTAGTGCTCTTCAAGCAAAGAAATACGCTATGCTTGATCGTTTCGGTACCATACGGTTGAAGTGGAAAACAGCCTTAACTATTTTAATGAAAATACATAATTTATGCGTTGAATACAAAACGCATGGTGCTACCACCTAAAAAAAATCTATTGAGTAAATAGCGGTTATTTGTCAAGTCATGCTGATATGTCATTGTTTCATGTGAAACCACTTCCCTTTCCTCTACCATGTCTTTGCCAGAAACTTCAAATTTGCACTGGTTCGAACAGTCATGAACCACATTGACTCGCTGTTCAACACTGGTGGATGGAATTATTTCTTTCCTGTTTGTTTTTTCCAGGACTGGACAGTTGAAACGACCAAGTTGGACTTGCCCGGTTTCATCATGCTGCATACAGTACGAGGTGACCTGAACCCAATTTTTGTTGCCATCTGAACTGAGCAATTTAACTGCGCCATCAAACTCGCCAAAACAATTCTGAAAAAAATAAGCATTCACAAACAATACAATTTTGTAAGTCCACAATAATATGATGAATAACATAATTTTAATTAACCCATTACAATGCAATAAGCAATGTTCTTAAGACTCAAATATTCTTTTACACTGATTGTTAGACAGAGAAAAATGGTGCAGGGGCATGTTGCATGATAAAGGGTTGGGCCATAATGCGCCTAAATGTACCCTTATATTTTAGCATTTTACTCTCTCTAATGTCAGAGGATTTTAATTACTCATTGCATGTGAATGGATTAATATGATAGTTTATTTATTTAGACGGAAAATGTCTAGAAATGACAAAGTTGTATTATTTTGTTAAATATATTTGTTAACTTTAAACAAACCATATTTTAATGTATTGTACCTGTCCATTCTTATCTTTGTAAGCAATGGCTTGCCCCATCCTTACTAAATATTTGGCATCCGAAATGCAGCCTTCAAATAGTTGCATTTATTGTTGCTTGTAGTTACTATATTGCTCAGATGCTCTTCGATTGCAGGTGTAGAGAATACAGCATCAATATGAAGCTTCTGCAGGCGGCCATTTGTATACTTCCCCTAGATACACCAAATAAGTAATATTCATTGAGACTATAAGACTACACCACATGATCCTAGATGCACCAAATAAGTAATATGTGAACCGAGCAGACAAAAAGTTTGCAAAACTATTGGATGGACTTTGAACTTCTTGGTAATAGTTGCGCACCTGCACCTGCTCACCTATTTTACTATTGACTAGTCAATAAATGTTTTAATATTGACTAGTAAATAACTGTTTTATTATTGACTGGTTGATAACTGTTTCATTGTTGACTGGTCAGTGAACATGAAGTTTTGTGGACCCACTAAAGTAAATAATAAATTAAATTATTGCCTAATTGTCCTTAGGTTCATTTTATTAAAACAAATTGCAGCCACACAAGTTGCAAAGAGACCTGTCATGCAATGTCATGAAATTGTATCATAATTTACTAGCATTATTTACTTACCAGTCGTAGTGATCCCGGTTGATAAATTTCTTTCTCACTATTTGTCTTGGGATCGTCCTGGTACATAAACTTTGCAAGTTTGGGGCTTTTTGCAAGATGCTGCAACTGCTGTGACGCACATTTTCTAAAATGTTAGCATAATTTTTTTAGTATTAAAATCTATAACTAATTTTTATCTCTAACTAATTTTTAATAAACATCTTTACATTATATAAAATTATATAATTAGCCTTTCTCATGAAGGTCAAATCCACCACTTTTGGGTATTATTTGATAAACAATGTGAAAAATCTAAGCAATATGAAAATAATTTTCCATATATTTTAACTGTGAATCGATTTATATAATGACTATAATTACAACTATATTGATAGAAAGTTTCATTTTCACTGGTTACTTTTCCTGTTCTTAAAAGGTTGCCACCCAAAAATGGCGGCGTGAGAAAAGCTAATTGTAAAAATGTTTGTGAGCTACAAATTTCTATCACTAGTTCCATAGTGAGTATAATTCCATATCAAAACTTTAAAATACCTGTAGTCAACACCCCAACATCCACCATTTAACACAAATTTTTGAATTTGGTGTTGAACAAACTTTTTCCCAATATCTCTGCTACATGCTTGGCGGTTGGAAAATACATTGATCTGACGTATGATCGAGTTCAATGCTTCAAATCTAAAATGTTGAGAAAAAATGTGTGCATGTAGTACCAGCTAACCAACAGTTACTACCAAACCTCTAAATTTCTATGGTTGCAATGACTTCCCACTTGACAAAGAATCGAACATTGTTAAGTATCTAATGAAGGTGTCTATCAGATCGGATTGGTTAAATAATCCCACAATAAATTGGTTAAATGTTTAAAATCCGATCCAAAATTGTCTAATCCGATCCGAGTTTTGATAAAGAATTCCGATCCGAAAAATCCTTTAATAAAATAAATTTCTCATTCAAGTAGAAATATTTAACCAAAATAATAATTACGATATATAATTAATTCCTTTTATTTTTAATATCGAAGTCTGATTGTCTGATATGACTATGAAACAACTTTATCAATCCAATCCAATCAGAAATGAATATTTTTGTTCTGAAATCCAAATTAATCAAATCGGTATCTAACCTTTCAGTGGCAAAGCCAATGGCGGGGCCAAAATTGAAGATATCGTCTGGCAAATGCAGTAGCATGTGTATTTTGGGTTTCCTCAAGAATTCTGGGTGGACATTCTCTACTGTCTCAAGGAAATGTGAGATGGCCATGTCCATTTTTTCACGATCATCCCTGTTCACACATGGATTATAAGCGATTGCAAATATCTGCAAACAAAGATAAAAAAAAATACTAGTACTACAGTTACATTAATTCCAAGAAACTCAATTGTGTATCACAGCTAGATGATTATGACAACCTTTTAATAAAACTGGCTAAGTAGCTGTTGATTTCCACAGTCAAGTCATTCAGGAATCCAGTCACACTGCTGAATATTTTGATGCAAAATGGGTTTTAGTAAAATCATCTGGTGCATGGGGGTGCATTGCATGTTAATATATTAAACTGTAAGTAACATTTTATACATGACATACATCACTCAAATTGTACCACACTTCCAATTCATCATCTGATACAATATCCATAAGTAGAAATACTGCAACTTTTGCCCAAACTTTACAGTCGCGCCCAACCAAAGAACCATGCATGCGTGTGATGCTGCTTGCAATTTTTTGTGGAAAGGCTGAAAAATCAAATGCCTCGATCCTGGCCTTTATCTTCATCTTATTGGCAGCAGATAGTGTTTTCATTGTCTTTCCCAAAAGATATTTTTCAGACCCAAGTAGAATAGTGTGCAGAATTTCAATTGGTGTCTGCCTGTGGAAAAATATAGGAAATGAAGGTATTTATAGCAAAGATATTGCACAACCCTGCCTTAATCATGAGAAATTTTTTTAATATCTCACTCAGTTGCATCAAATGTCTTTAGCTCATCAAATTGACCACCACATTCTGTCACACCAGTTTCTCGTCTTAGCAGTTTTTTTTGCATTTTCAGATCTGGATGAAAATCACATAGAACATCAAGTTACAGTGTAAAAATAATAAGGCACAATATATAACAACTGTAAACATCGATCGTTTAAACAGGATAGTGCAATCAGTCAAAGCTATTCTTATAGTGATATCATGACTTTTGAATTCAATACCAATACTAATTTAGAGGTTGGTATCAGAAATGATAAAGAAAAAAAAAGTTGAAAAAAATTTAATTTGAGAGAGAGAAAAGAGCCTGAAATTGAGTAGGATCTTTAAATTTGTCAGAGCATATTTTTTAAATCGAGGCCCCTTCCAGTAGCTCCGTAGTCTAGTTGAGATCTAGCCGGGTGACCGACTTAAAAATAATGTCTAGCTTAAAAATAATGTCATGTCACCTCCCCCCCAGAGAAGATTTCCCCTGGCCCCACAAATTTGTGCGGTGGCCCTGGGTTTGATAATTTCTTTGAAAGCAGTTGACAATCTGTTCATCATTTTATTTTGGCAAATTACTGTTTCACTTGTTAAGCATAAAAGCATTGGGTTACCTTGCATTTTTAAAAGGACAATTGTATTCTTGATTGCTTCATCTGTCCTTGCATTGCCAATTTCCGTTGCATTTTCTTTTGTTGCCTAGATATAAATTAGAAATTTCAGTCACATAAAAAATAGTTGGTCATCATCCCCACCCACCCATGGTTCACTTATTGGGACATTCAAATAACTCATTGTATTTGAATATATTTTGTAAAAATAAAAAATGATTAACATACATCACAATCTCTACAGAAATGCTTTGCTGTACTGCCAAGGTGATGACAAATTTCTGAAGCCCTAGGATTATCACATGCAACACAGAGTATTGGACACTGAACAAATATCTCATTGCCAGATAATACATCATACATCATCATTCCTGATTCAAGTTCTATATAAAAATTAAAAAAGAAACAATGAAATACATCACAACAAGATATTAAAGTCAATCTTCATATATTAAAAGTTGTTGTGCCATCATAATTTCCTTCTGGTTCTACCAAACTTCCAAGTTGCATGCCCGAAACTTGTGCTAACTTGACAACTATACTAGAAAAGTGCTTGAGGCGCGCAGTCACTGATAAGATTTCAAATATTTAAACTCAATTGTGTATATAAATTTGTAACAATGATTGATTTTACTCCATGATTTTACTCATTCTAAAATAACATCGTTCAAACCGATGACTGTAACGCCTGTTCGCAGGCTATATTAAAGGCCATATATATTTATAGTTTTATTCGCACATTGGACACATACTTGATAGATCTTCTGCAATCACTTTCTCAAGTGTGGTTTAGTCCACCAAATTAGACACACAAATAAAATGAATGTTGCTGAATTTGGTGACTTCTTTTCTTGGCAGACTTGCAAGGAAAAAAGAATATGTCTCCAACATGTTCCATTTCTTTGACAGGTTTCCACTTGTCTCATCTGAGAATATGACAATTGGAAGTGTCAGGGTCTGTTTACCACCAGCTGCAGCTTTACTTGGATGTGGAGTACAATGGAAGTCTATTTCCTGGATTAAATATGAATGACAGAATTAAATGATATCAAAACTATTGGGTAATAATAATTGATCATGGGATGCTGTATATTATCAAGTATATAACCTCAGGTGTGAGGTGATATATTTGGCCATCGATTTCTTTGAATGATAGAGGAGCTGTGGTAATTCCATTTATGTCATTGATATCAAGATCTTCAATTTCATCAGTGATAACCAAATGATCTGGGTGGACGGGATGGACATTGACTTTCAATACTTCGCACATAGATTTAAGACAGTCATCGACTTTCTACGAAGAGATAAGTTTTCTCTGATTATTATTATAATATGGGAAAATAAATATATATTTTATCCAGTTTGGGCTTGTCAGTTGATATGTTATTTTAACATTTAACTCGGTATACCGCAGAATCACCTTTATGCAGAATGCTTTTCTCCGGTTTCAGGATGCCTTATTTCACTTTTATATTTTCAATTTCTTCAGTGTCACACAAAAGGCATATTTCACTTGTGAAGAGTCTTAAGTGCACTTCATATCAGTTAACATTCAAATTATAAGTACCAGTACCTGTGCAAAAAAATTTTGCACTTTCCCATAAGCTCTGTTGCCTTGTCTTGATGTATATTGAATAACATCATCAACAAAAATAGTTTTGTTGTGAACAGTTGCGGAGGTTGTGTGAAACTGCTCACAGATATGCCATTTCCTGCCCTGGAATGCAACACAATTCAATTGCTAAAATTGCAAGACAAAAATGCAACATTACAATGTTGGAGGGTGTCAACCCTCCCCCCCCCCCAACACACACAGGACACACACACACACAAGTTATATCCCTGTACTGTACATACCCAATTCTTATAATCATTTCAGAATACTGTATGTACTATGTCCTTAATAATCCCAAGTATGCCTTACCTGATACATCTCTTCAATAATGTTCTGTGTCTTTTCTGGATATCTGGCAATTTGTTGTGCAATCGTGGGTGTGGCTAGTTGCATTTGGATTATTTTAGATGGTGGAATCCAATAGAATGGATGGCCTTCTCCATATGCCTGTTTTTAGAGACAATTATTTAATCTAACTGGAAACATATGGTAAAAAATAGATGTAAGTTTCAATAGCAACCTTATTTAAAGGTAACATGTCTTCTAAGCCATCTATTTTGAAGGACAAAACAGAATCAAGAAGTGGTGGATTAACTCCAAATCGATCAAGCATCATCCATAAGAAGTCAAGATCTGCTCGAGACTTAAAAATAAAATACAAATCCAGTTTTTTTTTAATATTTAGTAAATTAGTATAGGTAATTATTAACTTATGGGTGAACCGTTGAAATTAATTGCATATGGCAGTCATGCATATCCACAAAACATTTTCTTATGACCTGGGGCCAGTTGTTCAAAGTTAGGTTAGCTTAACCCTAGATTAACCTAAAATTCAAAGCAAACAAACCTGACAGCATGTCTATAAATGGAAATATTTTTTCAGAGATCTTGTCTGACTCGATGGGAGTTTACTTCTCTGAAGTTTTGAAATAAACAGGCGTGCAGAAATACACAAATTAAAACAGCAGGTTAAATTTTAACCCAGGGTTAGCGCTAACCCACCTTTGAACAACCAGTCCCTGGCCTTTTCTATATATGTGCGCGTAATGTGCGTGCTGTACAGAGTGACATTTTATATACATCAGAAAATTAAATCTAAAACAAGAAGGGCGCGGCTTTAACAAATCATGACTGTCAAGCTCAAGTTGCCCCTACCTTCGGCCTCATTATACCATGTGAATAACAGTATAATAGGAAAAACTTTTCATCAGGAAAGGGATAAAATAAATTAGACTTTTCATTGACATTGTCCTCAGCGTCCATTTCATGTTGAATTGGCGATGAAGGATTGTCCTGACTGTCGTCTTCAAAAATTAGAGGGGTCGCCATCATTTCTTGTTGGTCACCTTGCGACGTAAAAGGAAAAAACGGTGGAATTTCGGGAACAGTTTTAGTAGGAAAAGAGTTGTCTATTTCCTCGTCAATCACCATGGTGGCCGCATTTTTAACAAGCAATTTGTGTTTGTGATTTCTCGTTTCACAATGCTTTATGTAGCCATTATTTGACTCAAAATGCACGTCGCACAAATGACACGACTCAACGACGCTTCTGACTCTCTTCATACTTTCATAAATCAGATAATATTCACAATAATCAACAAGTAAGTACTTATGAAAGTTAAGTTTTTATCTGCGGCGTTCAACGGCTTGTGTACACGCTAATATTTTCGTTAAAACCAGTTAAACCAATTTAAAAATATTTTATTTATCTTTTTACCTTTAAATATCCATTAGATACCCTTATTTGGACATAATTTCCTAATAAGAAACATGTATCTGGAATTTGATTGGCTGGTCCGACTATCAACACAATTCTTGAATTTAATCCCGCGCCTTCCCGCGTCAGCAATTTTTTTTTGCTCTGCAGTGATTTCATTTTTTCACTTTGACAGGGTTTTTTTTTAACTTTAATTTACTTCTTTTTGGTTAACCGTCCATTCGTTATGGCTGAAGAAATGGCTGAGAATGGCTACAACCATGAGTAAGTTTTACGATATAACTTTTATTTTATATGCGGCTTAAAAATGAATATTTAAATATCTGGCATTGGGATTGGGCACATTTATCTTTTTTTGCTTTTCCAGCTGGTTAGGTTTTCCAAGTCCTCAATTTAACTCACCAGAAAGCAATCCAGAAAGCAGCTTGATGTCACCATGTGTGTACCGAAAAGGTAACATAATTATCCCGCAATCCCTGTTTTCTGGTATCAGATAAAAAGCTTGTATATATTTTGAAATGTTTATAAACGCTGTCTGCCTTTTATACAGAATTAACACCGCAAGTGAGGCGAATGAAACAGGGAAAAGTTGACAGCACCAATTACTCTCGAGGAAATACAAGTATGTTTAATGTTTTCCGATATTAAGTTTGACATGCAGACATTTTTAATTTGCCCGTTTTGTTTCCATAAAATAAACTCATTCATATATATCGTTTGGTTTAATATCGTTCATAAATTATATTCAGGTCAGGGAAGCGAAGCTCAAAGACATAGTAAAAAGGGGAAAGCTACAAACTCGCCAAGGCAAAATAAAAGATCAACACCGACGGCAGGTCAGCCATTCGATATAACTTTAATTTGCCGGTTTAGTTTCCAAAAAATAAACTCGTTCATATATAGTTTGTTATCGTTTATATTCATGCAGGTCGGGGAAGCCAGCAGAGCCAAACGAGGACATTGAAGACACCAAGTCCGACGAAAACTAAAAGATCAACACTTGTAGCAGGTCAGCCATTCAAACTTTAATTTGCCGGTGTATTTTCCAAATAACAAACTCGTTCATATATCGTTTTGTTATCGTTTGCATTCAGGTCGGGGAAGCCAGCAGAGCCAACAAAGTCAAAGAAGTAGACCACTAGGTCAGGCAGTCAACTTTTATTTTCCCAGTACAGTTTCAAAAACCAGCTTAACCGGTCGAGCTCTTCTGAACTTCTGAGTTGTGTATACCTTTCAAAAATATAAATGACTGATTAATGTTGATTAATGTCTAATTATAAAAATAAGAACAGTGAAAATCCGGCTTAAAATTGTTCTCTAAATTTTTATTGGCTCAGGAAAAGACCGAACAAAAATGTGCTTGCAACAACATTGATCGGATGAAAAGCATTATTTTTGTGTTTGTGACAACTCACAAATTATTTAATTTCAACTTAATTCTCACATAGGATTGGAAACTGAAGGAAGCCAAAGGCATGATGGGCCCCTACAAAGTCCTACAAGAGCAGGCGCTATAAGTAACAAAGGTAGAAATCTTAAATAACATGCATGTCTATACAACGGTACAGTATATTAATATCACTTAATATAATTATCGGACTATAAACGGTTAAGGTTCTGTCCCCAATGTTCCTAACTTGCTGTTAAACTTAACAAAATGATGTCTACGTGAATAATCGTACCGATACGAGCAAGGATGGGATGAGCTAAAAGTTGTTAAGTGTGCAAGCAAACCATTAATGGATTAATTTCTTGTTTTCTTTAGATTTGCTGAGTGAGCTGAACAAAGTGAAAGATGATGTTGGTTCATTGAAAAGGAGCATGAAAGAAATTGCGAGCAGGCAGTTGGAGATGATGAGGGTGGTAAAAGCACTGAAGAAAAGTCACGAATCCCATAATTTTGAAATGGGAAAATGCTGCCACACGGTAATACATTACTTTAATACTTTTATTATATATTTCAGTTCATGCAGTCTGCTGTACACTACTGGCTGCTTTGGGGACTTAACTAATAATTTTCTGATTTACATTCAAATGAAAGGATATTGTAAATAACATCATGGCACAGTGGTATTGTACCAAGGGCAGGTATCAAGTTGCTGACAAAGAGAAAAAGGTATTACAGTAATTGACACAGTGATGCATATTTACTCATATCAGTTTATTTGCTTACAAATACATGATTTTTACATCTGAGACACACACTTGAAAATATGATACATGTACAATAAATTTATTAAACATTAATAAAAAATGACTTTTTGCTAATCATTTTGTATTTTACAGAGGTTGCTTGAAGCAGAGTTTGAAGATTCGCCAACAGGCCTATCTGTACAAGAATTGATGAGCCGTTGCGGCAAATATGAGGCAGGTCGTTTCTCATATTGGAGAAGCGAGGAACGAAGACGGGTATTTATGAAATATTACTTTCTGCATATTCGCTTATGATAATATATAGTTATGTATATTAACCCTCAAGTGGCAATACGCCCAACTTTATTATTTTACTCTGTGTAACACCAGACAATTTTACCTGTCAGCCAGGGGGAAGTGTTGCCACTACATGGGTTAATATACATTATTTATGTTAATACCATATTATAATATGGAACATATTATAATACGTTAATTCAATTGTTTTGTCATATTTTACATACGTTTTTCTTTTCAGGTTCTAGGGCTTAATGGCTATGAACAACTGCTTGAGGTTTTATCCAGTATGCTGACTAATAAAGTCCTGCAGCTCCTCGGCCAGAAATACAATGTTCAGTCGAAGTCTGCTGTAAAAAAAGAAATTATTTTAATAGTTAGTATTTTGATTAGTATCATACAAGAAGCCTGCTTCCATTTACATTGCACATATGCATATATTTACCTACAATAATCTACCTGCTGAAGAACACACATAAACAAAGAGCCAAGTCAGATCTATATAAGGTGGAGTACAGAGCCCATTACCCCCAGAAAGGTGAGGCACCCTGCCAAACAAGTGAAGAACTCCTCCAGAAAAGTGAAGAAGCATACCCCAAAATCTTCTACTTCATGTACGTGTTTATACAATTATTGATGTACCAATCCCACCCCCAACACACCCACCTTAAAAACTCTTGCACTCCCTGTGCCAAATAATCCAACTGATGCACTTTTTGTTTTAGCGTAAATTCATCAGAAGCACCTCCCTAGAAAGCGCCAGAAAATTAAAAGAATTCTGTGGGTCATTTTATGAATGGCGATCGACATCATTCCCTGGACGAATGACATCGTCCAAGAGGACAACCTCTGTTATGCAGAGGAATGATAACTTTAGTTGTGCTAGAGTAGCTTAACCTTGTTTACATGTCTACTTAATTTTAATGTTTCATTGATACTTCCACAGGTATCATGCAGTACATAAAAAAATGTCTCAATCAATTCCAATAGTGACCATCCCCCCCCCCTCCCACGTCATTTGTTAGGCATTTGAATATTTGTTGTCCCCTCCATGGGGTCAACACCAAATCCCCACCCTTTGGACAACATGTAAGTTTCTATGTAGTGCAAATGTTTCTTCAAGATAATTCCAATCCTGGAATGGACCTACAAATAACAAATGCCTTGTAACCCTGGAGACACATGTGGTTGCCAGATGCTGGAAACATGACAGGGGAAGAGAGGAGGTCATATATGTGAAATTGATTAATATTTTCAGTACTGTATTTTATATCTTCAACTTCAGAGACTGTATTTACAACCCACATCAATATTCATGTTCATGCCACAAATAACATTGAATCGATGTTATGAGTGGGTGGGTTTTTATGTAGACTTATCGACTTTATCTCGTGGCAATTTGACAATTAATTTATGTCCAAAATATCTATCAATATACGACTGAAATATGCAAATATTTTCGTGTTCATTGATTGTGAAAACAATCAATTTCTAAAGAAATGAATGATAATAATTTTGAATTTGCATAGCGAGACTAAATTGTCGGGCTGGCCATGCCACTGTGGGTGGGTGAAGTAATAACGTTGATATGGCAATATGAATATGGATGTGGCCCCTTACAATATAATTGTCAAGTAATTTAAAAATAAGAAATTATTTGTTTTAAAAAGGCAGTATGCAAGACTGTCAAAATATAAGGCCTATGTTATTATCTGCATGGGCCATTACCCCATATTTTAATATCTGTACATTTAACATTTTACAATAGACCTTATGCAAGGCTTGATGTCTGTGAGGAATGCTGGTCTTATAGAAGAAATTTCGATAATGACTATTTCGAATTGTTTAATTTTTCCAGGGCAATGACTACCTGTACTAATTGGACCAGCATTCCTTGCAGATATCAAGCCTTGACGTCATTATGCATAAGGTCCATTGCTTGTTTGCAATTGACTGATTTTCAAAATACAAATGGCAACTATAAAATGCACATTCTTCATTTTTTTGTCGTATTGAGCCAAATACCATAAACTCAAAAGTCTAAAATCGACCAAGATATGGCACCTAGCTATATTAAAATGACTCATTGTGATCTCATGTACAAGCAAAGAATATACTGTATATAAACTTAATTCTTATTCTGTGCCTTAAATGTGTACTAGAGGTACTGGCATATCTGGTGCTTAGGTTAATCATCATATCAGTTAATATTAATAACTATGATCAGTTCATCTATGTTAAGTATTTATAAATAAATGCAATTTCATGATAAAATCCATTTTACAAACCTTCATTTCTGTTCTCACCAAGTTTTTAAACAGAATTTAATGTTGCCGGCCCAATTATACGTTATTCTCTTCTTACATAAAGTCGTAACCACGAAATATAAAGCTAAAAAGTGTATAAAAACAGCTTTGGAATACAGCAAATAAAGTTTAAACATTCAACACTTCGATTTATTCATTTACAAATGAATCAGACATAAATACTTTTATATGGAACTTGCTATTTCTGATCTTCTTTTGCTTTATCACAGCCTGACATGACGTACATTGTATTTTATTTAATCATTTTAAGTAAGCATAATTTTTAAAACATCTTCGACAAAACATGTACATACAATATCTGAAAATATTTATTTTGCGATTCACCACATGCTTTCGATCTGCCTGCAGACTCGGGCGTTTTGGGCTCATGTTTCCCGCATCTGAGGTATAAAAGTGAGGTGTTAATTTCCAACTGTACTATTTTTTAAAAATAAAACGACGGCTTTTACATTTAATATTGTCAATGGCAATGATTGAATGAGAAAGTGAAGCCGGAAGCTACCATTTCGTGCGATTTTTCTCGTTACTCATATTTTCGATTTGTTTTCAAACAACAGGCTTGTTGAAACTTGTTGTGACAGGACAAAAATCGTTTGTTGTGAACAGATCTGTCGCAGGTCTGTTAACAAGCTTGCTGCAGGCTTGATAAAAACAACTCGCGACAGGTCTGTTGGAAGAGACTGTAACAACCTGTTGATTTCAACAGACTTGCTGCAAGTTGTTATATCAGATCTGTTATCGCTTGTTAGTAACAGGTTTGTAGCGAGTTGTTTCAACAAGTCGCTACGGCTCTGTTGTCAACAGCTTGCGACAGACCTGTTCCCGCAAGCCTGTTATCGCCTGACGAAACCAACAGACCTGTCGCGACTTGTTGACAAGTTGCCGCAAGCCGGTAAAATCAACAGCTTGCGACAGACCTGTGAGATTTCTGGCTGTGTAGGATTAAAATCTCCGGCTACTATGACGGACGTGTTGGAGCTTTCAGATACTAATTTATCATAGCAGTCATGCATAGAAGTAGTTGTAAAAACGATCAAGATCGATCGGAGGACATAGGCCTAGAAGGTGATAAGTAAACGACTTAGCCTGCAATTCTCGAGATCGCGCCTGGTATAGCCATGGGGACCGAAGTATCACTCAAATACATTCAAAGGGTGAGGTTGAGATGTCCATACGATGTCTAACATGAAAATGTTATTATCACCAAACACTGCAAGACCTCCTCCTCGACCTCGAACTCCATTACAGTACTTAAATGCCCTGTCTTTCGTAATTAGTATCATCCCCAGAACTTGTACTACTTTGTCCAGTATGTTGTCATTTAGCCATGTCTCTGTTCTAAGGGCTAGTTGAGACTTAGTTACACTTACTAAGGCATAAAGTTCGTCGACTATACCAACTAAAGATCTTATGTTAGAAACCAATAATGAGGCTGAGCTCTTTGAACACCATATCCACCATTTTCTTTATTTTATTGTATATGGACTTCAGTTAAATTATGTCTATTAACCGCTTTGCTGGGACAAATATAGTTCAACTATCTCCTCCGACATACTGCATGTACAAAGGCCAGGTGTACAAAGGCCAATCCTTCGAAAATGTCCTTGGGCAGTAGCAACAAAGTCCTCGCTGAAAATGACCCTTGGGCATGGATTGCTGAGGAGGACGCCCAATAAATTGATACCCATTTACATGGCTTCTCGCTGAATTTTTTAAAGTAGGCCCTCCATTATATTAGTTGGCTCGATTAACATTGAAAACCTGCTGATTCTTTGAATACTTCTTGTGTTTACGGGTGGTTTTCTTTTTGAGACGGCGTGGACTGCGATTTGTGATTCTGATTCGTACGAGTTTAATTATAATTAACTCTTTTTCGTTGGGCGCTGAAATAACCAGGTCGAAACCGATCTGGTATTTTGCAGGTTCAAATCTTCGGTTCGGTGCATGCTATGTAGATGAAAATAACACCATTCGATTCAGTGAAAAAATTCCTATCAATAGATATAATAAAATGTCTACATTACAGCGATTTACGACCTTTATATTTCAAGCGATATCATATTTCATTAGATTACACAATATTCCCGAAAAATGTAAACAATGTAATAAAATGTATCACAAACTCATACATTTCGTCGGAAATCGATTCTAAAGGTCAAATTACACCTGCAGCGTGATTTGCACGTGCATCGGGCTACAGGTGCTCCTTATTGGCCAATTTCAGCGTGTGGCGGGCGCGTGCGAGTGAAAACCCGATATTTTGAAAAATTCAAAATAAATATATTTCTACTGGCCGTATTCAAACGAAATTTACCACACAAAAGCGCTTGAATACAAGGAGTATTTCTGACTTGTGCGGAATTCCAAGGATTTCAAGAGATATTCTAGCCTGCGGGCAGCAGAATATTTGGCCAAGCGGTGAGTAAAATACACGATTGTTTTGGTTTGGTTTGTGTTATGTTATGTTATGACGGCACTTGACCCCCCGTTCGAAAGTTATTTTATGAGGATTTCAACGGCTGTTTCCGTTTTAAAGTGGGTTAAACACTCGTTGAGATATTTACATCGGAAGCAATTGAATGAAAAATATGGAATTTATCGCCAAACGATAAATCTCGAAACCATTCGGGATGCAGCAATAGGAGGGTTACCTTTATTGCCTTTATTAGAATCCACCAACTGGGGCTTACTTGAGTGGTGATTCGTGATTCCGATTAGCATGGCAGCTGTGGATGGGCTACCATTATTGGAATCCACCAAATGGAGATCACTAGTACTTAACAAGGTATTACACCTAACCTCTGGGGGGACTGGTTGGAGATCATCTAGCTTGATGAGGAACAACCATTGCCTTGTACATAAATATCTTCATTAGAGATAGCAGATTGGATTTCCTTTGATGGAGGACTACAGACAAAAACGTCACTTTAACAAAAATCTATTGGAATGCTGGATTTGCCTTTAGGAAACACTTTGTCTTCTATTTCAGCCAGGCGACACTTTAAAATTACATTTTCTCTGGAAAATTTGTCTACATCCTATTTGCTTTTGTCGATAATGCCTATCATTGCAGTGATTTCAATTTCAATCTTCGCTTTGAAGATGACAAACTATTCCTCTAAAGATACCAGGTTTTCCTTCCCACGTGGTTGAAGTGGAGTCAAACTGTGGACAGTTGAAGTAAACAATGTTTTTACCTTGTCGTTTCCAGGCAGACAACCAACATTTTGAAATGAACGATCAATAAAATCTTGTAGTTCTTCAATTGCAAGGGTAGAAAAAGAAATGCTAAAGATTCTGAATCGAGTGAGGCGGATAAGCATATACTGTAGATTCGTTCGATATCTTTCATATAGCTCGATCAGGAATCGCAGTTGAATGAGCATGAATAGACACTATGTCGTCTCTATACCGTTGCAGCTCCGATATTGACGACAGTAATTTCTCTTGGAGTTTAACTCTCAAACGTCCTAGTTGACAGCACAATTTTATGTTGTTTGTTTGTTTGTTTGTTTGTTTGTTTGTTTGTTTGTTTGTTTGTTTGTTTGTTTGTTTGTTTGTTTGTTTGTTTGTTTGTTTTGTTTTGTTTTGTTTTGTTTGTTTTGTTTGTTTGTTTGTTTGTTTGTTTGTTTGTTTGTTTGTTTGTTTGTTTGTTTTGTTTTGTTTTGTTTTGTTTTGTTTTGTTTGTTTTGTTTTGTTTTGTTTTGTTTGTTTTGTTTGTTTGTTTGTTTGTTTGTTTGTTTGTTTGTT